GGGCCGTTGGTTCGAATCCCAACCCCAGCACCACCTGCCTGGAGTTTGCATGTTCTCCCTGTGCATGCGTGGGTTTCCTCCGGGTACTCCGGTTTCCTGCCACACTTCAAAGACATGCTGGTAGGTGAATTGGTTCCTGTCTAAATTAGCCCTAGTATGTGTATGTATGAATGTGAGTTAGTGACCTTAGATTGTACGCCCCTTGAGGGTTAGGGACCTTAGATTGTACGCCCCTTGAGGGTTAGGGACCTTAGATTGTACGCCCCTTGAGGGTTAGGGACCTTAGATTGTACGCCCCTTGAGGGTTAGGGACCTTAGATTGCACGCCCCTTGAGGTTTAGGGACCTTAGATTGTACGCCCCTTGAGGGTTAGGGACCTTAGATTGCACGCCCCTTCAGGGTTAGGGACCTTAGATTGTACACCCCTTGAGGTTTAGGGACCTTAGATTGTACGCCCCTTGAGGGTTAGGGACCTTAGATTGTACGCCCCTTGAGGGTTAGGGACCTTAGATTGCACGCCCCTTGAGGGTTAGGGACCTTAGATTGTACGCCCCTTGAGGGTTAGGGACCTTAGATTGCACGCCCCTTCAGGGTTAGGGACCTTAGATTGTACGCCCCTTGAGGGTTCGGGACCTTAGATTGCACGCCCCTTGAGGGACCTTAGATTGCACGCCCCTTGAGGGTTAGGGACCTTAGATTGTACGCCCCTTGAGGGTTAGGGACCTTAGATTGTACGCCCCTTGAGGGTTAGGGACCTTAGATTGTACGCCCCTTGAGGGTTAGGACCTTAGATTGTACGCCCCTTGAGGGTTAGGGACCTTAGATTGTACACCCCTTGAGGGTTAGGGACCGAAGATTGTACGCCCTTTGAGGGTTAGGGACCTTAGATTGTACGCCCCTTGAGGGTTAGGGACCTTAGATTGTACGCCCCTTGAGGGTTAGGGACCTTAGATTGTACACCCCTTGAGGGTTAGGGACTGATGTGAATGTACAATATATATATAAAGCGCTGCGTAAATTGATGGTGCTATATAAGTGCCTGAAATAAATAAATGATAATTTTTTCTTATTGCTGTCTGTGTTTTCCTGCCTGCCCCCCCACCCCTATCCTGGTGTCACCCCAACAGGAAACCAAGAAATAGCGCCCAACTAGAGTCACTGCTTGATTTAAACGCCACACGAAAAAAATGTAAGCTGAACTCCAGGCAGAAAAACTAAAATTTGTTCCTCAATAGCCACAATCTGCTTTGCAAGCACCAAATACCTTTACAGGCCCGGATATTATCTTGTAAAAGCAGCAGTGATATCAATGTGCTGTATATAATGAATGCAAAGAGCAAAGCTGTGGGAGGGGCCTAGCAGCCCCACCCACTGCTGGCTGTATGCAGAAAACTACAGGAAGGGGCAGAGACAAGACCAATCACTGTGCACAAGGAGACAGTGCAGAGCTGTGGGAGGGGCCCAGCAGCCCCATCCACTGTAGGCTGTATGCAGAAAAGTACAGGAAGGGGCGGAGACAAGACCAGTCACCGTGCACAAGGAGAGAGAGCAGGAGAGGCCGGTCTGTATTACAGGAAACACCTTCACAGAGGCAAGGTGCAGACGTTACTGTACAGATCTGAAAGGAATACACAAAGCACACCAAGATTCAAGTAAGAAGTCACAAACCTCTCATATTTAACCACTTCCAGTCCGAACACTTTCCCCCCCTTCCAGTCCGGACACTTTCACCCCCTTCCAGTCCGGACACTTTTCCCCCCCTTCCACCGGACACTTTCACCCCCTTCCTGTCTGGACACTTTCACCCCCTTCCAGTCCGGACACTTTCATCCCCTTCCAGTCCGGACACTTTCACCCCTCCAGTCCGAACACTTTCACCCCCTTCCAGTCCGGACACTTTCACCCCCTTCCTGTCTGGACACTTTCACCCCCTTCCAGTCCGGACACTTTCACACCCCTTTGTATGGACACTTTCCCCCCCCCCCCTTCCAGTCCGGACACTTTCCCCCCTTCCAGTCTGGACACTTTCCCCCCCCTTCCAGTCCGGACACTTTCCCCCCCTTCTTATCCAGGCCAATTTTCAGCTTTCAGCGCTATCACACTTTGAATGACAATTGCGCGGTCATGCTACACCGTACCCATATGAATACATTTTTAGCATATTTTTGAGACAGATAAAAGCTTTATTTTGCTGGTATTTATTCCCCGCTGGGATTTTTATTTTTTTTTTGCTATATAAATGAAAAAGTCCAAACATTTTGAAAAAAAAAGTGTTTTTCTTATAAAATTTGGCAAATAAATAATATTTCATCATAAATTTTTGGCAAAATGTATTCATTTATCTTTTTTAGTAAAAAAAAAATAAATAAATAACCCAAATTAGTTTATAACCAAAAATTATAATTTTTTAAAAATTGTTTTACATTTTTATTTTATTTTTTATATTATTTGTTTTTTTTTTTTTTTTACATAATGTCACCCTAGCAGTACAGTATCACCATGGTGACACTGTACTACTTGTGGGGTATATGAAATTTTTTTTTTTTTTTTTACACTGATTGCTTTTACACCCATACAGGCTGTAAAATCAGTCATTTCTCCTTCTCTCTGGCTGCATTCTTGCAGCCATTGAGAAATACTGTGTGAGCTGTGATTGGTCATAGCTTGTCACATGGTACAAGGCTGTTGTGAATAGCCCTGTACCATGTGACCTCTGTGATCATTCACACATTTCACACGAAGTAAGCAATGATGTCAGAAGTGACATCTTGCTTACTACTCTGCATGTGATCACTGACTGGCCAATCAGTGATCACATGATCGTTACCTCGCAGAGAGGTCCCGTACGATGATCGGTGTTCCACTGTGTCCAGAAGACACAGCGGGCACCGGATCGCGGTGCTGTGCGCTCCCAGGGAGCGCGCACAAGCAGGGGGCGGGGAGGCTGTTTATAAACAGCCACCCGCCCCTGCACTGCCACCGTCTGGCTGTTTATATACAACGGCTGGACGGGAGGTGGTTAAACATGGAGTTCGGCTTTAAATCTCCCCTACTCTATTCACAACTGAAGGAAATGACATTTGGCTGGAGTTAGTATTTAAGAAAAGCGAAACATGATTTTTCTTTGGTGATCTTTTCATTAATCAATGGCTAACTAGCATGTGATATGAAGCGCTAATTACAGTCGGATTATGTCTCCCTGTACCGGTCTTCACTCCCCAGGCAGGCGGTCTCTACAATGATGACACACATAATTACCCCTGCCATACTGAAGGAAAGGAGGAGATAATAAATGACATTTGTGCTGCTTGTTAGTTCTCTGATGGTGTGAAAAGAACACAGAACTAAATTTATACAGTACTAGAGATTCTGAGAACGACAGCAATCTTTCCACAGGAAGAGGTGACCGGCCACAGCCGCACCGACTCTACAGATACACGTTTCCCCTTACCTGACACTGATCTCCCTCTGCAGCAGTGGGACAGACACACAGACATGATGAGACCGGGGACAGACACACAGCTCACCTACAAAAAGGCCCAAAATAACAGCGCACAGCACCTTGCTCTGTGAAATGACCCAATATTACAGTTAAGGAGAACCTGTCACGTTTTTATTGCCGTCTAATAGAGAGATTTTGTCTCGCCTTCTGCCCCGGTGACATAAATGAGGGGAAATTTCTCCAAAAGCAGCTACAGACAGCAGTAAAAATCTGACGAGGTTCTAAGCCTTCATCATGCTATACAAGTGAAAAAAACAATTCCCAGAGATTCCTCTATAGAATGTGAGATTGATGAACATTTCAGGTTCCCTCTTTTATCTGGACATCATTGAAGGCTGCAGTCACTATGGAGGTGCCTGAATCCACCTAGGTTGGGGTAAGAGGCGGACTCAGGTTTGGCAGTGCAGTGATCTCACTGGTCACCATTATCACGGGCACATTTGATTGTCGTTGGCAGACTAACCTACAGGCAAGAAACCCAACCCCTAAAGTGGAACTACAAACATTTTTAACCTACCTCTGTATTTTTTCATGGTTCTAAACCCCAAAATGCTTTTACCGTAATGCATTCTCTGCAATTCTCCCTCCATTAACATGTGCCTGAGGCCTACATCAATCCGGGGCTATGCCCAGCAGCACTTCTCTACCCTCACCCTGCTTTCCGAGGCCGCCCTTGGCTCCTGCTGCTGTCAATCACATTCTGGGAGGAGGGGGTGGGGGCATGGCCAACCTGCACTGTGTGCCTATGGACTCACACAGCCCGGCCTGGGAGCGCACCCTCACGTGTGTCCCCCCCCCCCCCCGTAGCACACAGCTTGCTTTGGGGGCACACGCAGGGAAGGAGGAGCAGACAGGTAAGGGGCTGCTCTGTGCAATACCATTGTACAAAGCGGGTAATTAGAACTTCTTTTTTAATTTTAATTAAATAAAAAAAGAAGGTTTTTACATCTACTTTAAACTTGTGTAATTACCTTTTTTCTTGAATTCTTCTTGCTGGTTTAATGACATCACTGCAGCTACTTCTCCTTCTTACAGCAGCAGTGGGCGTTCATTCTTCCAGGACTACGCGGCATGTAATGACTTTTAAGCGCTGCTCAGTCCTGGAGTACTGTAAACCCATCCTGCATGATGCTGCGCCCCATAGGGGGTATGTAGACAAAAGGCTGGGCCCACAGGAAATAGGACGGTGTTGTGTTGCCCAGTAGAGGAACTCCGGTATCAGGAGAAGGGGTTAGGCAATTATAAAAATGAATATTAAAATCCTGGAATACGACTTTAAACAGGGACTTGCCTACCCCTGGGTCTACTGAATAACCGATATTTTCACTTCCTCACAGAGTCCAGAAATCTCAATCACCCACCAGCGTGTTTAATCTTGTGGGATTTCCTTCTGCTGAATTCTCCCCAATGCAAATTAAAAAAAATCTAATAAGAAGGACAGTCCGCTGCATCATGGCTATAAGGGGTGGGCGGAGCCTGGAGCATAGCCAATGAGTCATTAGCATTCTGGCACCAAAAAACTAAAGTATGAATTTTGGGTGACCGACCCCTGAAGCTTAATAAACATTATGGTAACTTGACTTTCGCTCACCTTTTCCAGCTGACTGTGAACGTGTTGTACAATCAGATCAATGGCCACCGTGTTTCCACTACCTGGAAGACACAAAATGGTGCATTTCTGAATATGCGATATATAATAGATATTCAGAGTCTGGCTGTCCCTTGTGACCAGGGGCGGACTGACCATTTGGGAACTCGGGCACTGCCTGAGGGCCCGGGGTCAGTAGGGGGCCCCATCAGATGCCCTGGTACCTTTCATAGGCTTTTTTTTAGGTGTGGTTTGAGTGTGCGTGAGGACACAGGGGCCCCATGATCCCCTATTGCCCAGGGGCCCCATGAGTTGTCAGTCCGCCCCTTCTTGTGATCTTAGCTGTTTTAGTTATGCTCTCTTACCTCTGGGTACCACAATATCTACTAGACGCATGGTTGGCTGGATGTGCTGGTCAAAGGCTGGTTTAACAAAAGTATGGTACTGTTTAAGGACACCCTCGATTTCTCGCCCTCTCTCTGAGATGTCCCTCCGCAGCCTCCGTACTAAGCGAATATCAGAGTCCGTCTCCACAAAAATCTTCATGTCTAGCAACTGTGAAGGGAATACAATTTACAGACAAATTACAAAACTGTTGTCATTACATACCCTAATATAGCCCCACTGACATCATCTCTGGATCTCTGTGTTTTCCTATGCAATGCGGGTAGATCGTGGCTTATAGGAAGGGCCAGCAGCATGCCTTTCCTTACCTTTAGAAGTTCTGCATTAGCAAACGCCATGATCCCTTCAAATATTATCACGTTCGCTCCATAAAGGGTTTTCTAAGACAAGAGATAGAGGAGTTATCAATTCTGATCAGGTGATACGATACATTGATCCCGAAGTAATACATGTATAAAACATCGTATAATATTTCTCCTTATTTCACCACTGATGTCAGTCCTGTAAGTTAGTATAAAACAGCTTTTTTTCAACCAGGGTTCCTCCAGAGGTTGCTAGGGGGTTCCTTGAGCTTTGCCTGAACTCCCATTTAATGGTGCCTGCATAGTCGCCCAGTCGGGCCATTTTCAGATGGATAAGTCTATGGTATCAGCAGATTCCTATCACCCAACTGCTGTAGGAAGGAAAGATTGCTAGTCCTGAAAACGTTGGCCAAGCACTACTGTTCCCTAGAGATATGCAGCTGTAGGGGTTGCTTGCTCATTCCTCCATCCTCATACTCTCTATAGAAGCCATTCTCAACCATATCTTGGGGGGAACCCTAGGTGGCTAGGGGGTTCCTTGAGCTGTGTCTGACCTCCCATTTAATGGTGCCTGCATAGTTGCCCTGTCTGGCCATTCCCAGATGGATAACTCTATGGTATCGGCAGATTCCTATCACCCAACTGATGTAGGAAGGAAAGATTGCTAGTCCTGAAAATGTTGGCCAAGCACTACTGTTCCCCAGAGATATGCAGCTGTAGGGGTTCCTTGCTCATTCCTCCATCCTCATACGCTCCATAGAAGCCATTCTCAACCATATTTTAAGGGGAACCATAGGTGGCTAGGTGGTTCCTTGAGCGGTGTCTGACCTCCCATTTAATGTTGCCTACATAGTCGCCCAGTCTGGCCATTTTCAGATGGATACGTCTATGGTATTGGCAGATTCCTATCACCCAACTGCTGTAGGAAGGAAAGATTGCTAGTCTTGAAAACGTTGCCCAAGCGCTACTGTTCCCCAGAGATATGCAGCTGTAGGGAATCCTTGCTCATTCCTCCATCCTCATACTCTCCATAGAAGCCATTTGAAACCATATTTTTTGGGGGAATCCTAGGTGGCTAGGGGGTTCCTTGAGCTGTGTCTGACCTCCCATTTAAAGGTTGCTGCATAATTCAAGAACCAACACCACTTGGTAAAACCAGCAGCATGACACCAAATATGCCTTTAGCTATACGTAAGGGTTCTGATCACCAATGTGAGGTCCATTTTTCCCATTGATCCATGATGAACTGGTTACAGTAAGGGTTCCCCAAGACCTGCAACTTACTTTAGGGGTTCCTCTGAAGAAAAAAAAAACGTTGGGAAAGGCTGGTATATAAGAAGATCAACAGGGGTAATACTGAAGAGCCATACTAGAGAGTATTTGGGAGAGATACTTTTTGCCAACCTCCAAGTCACCCGGCTCTGGGGATCTCTGACTCTCTTCCCTCTCTAGAGGTACTAATGTGTGTGCACACTGGAATAACAAATCAGCAACAGGGACAAGGAAGTGACCTCCAATGTAAGTGGCTGATTTTACCCAGTCTTTGGTTCGGCTGTGACTGGTGAAGTCATAGGTGGGAATTTTTACACTCTTCCCCTGTTTTAGCTTCTTCAGCGTACTGATGACCAACTCAAAGTCAAAAGAGTCCGGGTGGTCGAAGTTGTACTCATTGCAGGCGGCAAGGACCTGCTGCTCCTCCGTCAGCACCTGAAAAGAGAATTCAGTGTAAATACAGTTGGGCTCAGGCTATATTATCAGAAGTGTAATGAGATACAAATGTGTGTGTGTGTGTGTATGTGTGTATATGTGTGTGTATGTGTGTGTATGTGTGTGTGTATTTGTATGTATGTGTGTGTATGTGTGTATGTATATATGTGTGTATGTGTGTGTGTGTATATATGTGTGTATGTGTGTGTATGTGTATATGTGTGTGTGTGTGTGTGTGTATATGTGTGTATATATGTGTGTGTATGTGTGTGTGTGTGTGTGTGTTTTATGTGTGTATGTGTGTATTTGTATGTATGTGTGTGTATGTATGTGTGTGTGTGTATGTGTGTGTATGTATGTGTGTGTGTGTGTATGTGTATATGTGTGTGTGTATTTGTATGTATGTGTGTGTATGTGTATGTATATATGTGTATGTGTATGTATATATGTGTATGTGTATGTATATATGTGTATGTGTGTGTATGTGTGTCAGCTCCTTGGGTGACTCCGAACTTGCAAATAGCACCTACAGCTCTGGCCCGCCCAGTCTTCCTCTTCTCTATTATCCACTCATTAGCTTCTTTTACCCATACCTGACCTGCCTCCCCGCTGGCTATCCCCGCTTCAGTCGATCCTGAATACGGCTGCCAGACTCATTCACCTTTCCAACCGCTCCGTTTCCGCCACCCCCCCTCTGCCAATCCCTCCACTGGCCTCCACCCCCCTCTGCCAATCCCTCCACTGGCCTCCACCCCCCTCTGCCAATCCCTCCACTGGCTTCCGATTGCGCAACGGATCAAATTTAAAATCCTAACACTAACGTACAAAGCTGTCCACCATACTGCCCTGAACTACATCACCGACCTAATATCAAGTACCGCCCAGCACACACACTCCGCTCCTCACAAGACCTCCTTCTCTCTAGTTCCCTAGTCTCCTCCCATGTCTGCCTCCAGGACTTCTCCAGGGTGTCACCCATCCTCTGGAACTCCCTTCCCCAAACCATCAGATTATCACCTACTCTCCTCTCCTTTAGGCGCACCCTGAAAACCCATCTCTTCAGGGAAGCCTACCCCACCCCCTGCTAACTTGACCGACCTCCTCCACTCTTCCTACCACTCCATCCCCCACAGCTATCTCCTCCTGTGCCACTACCCCCTCCCTCCTAGATTGTAAGCTCGAAAGAGCAGGGCCCTCGATCCCCTCATGTTTTGCATTGTATTGGTATTGTTCTGTCACATGTTCTGTCCCCCTTTGTAATGTACAGCGCTGAGTGAACTATCGGCGCTTTATAAATACTGTATAATAATAATAATACCTGAATGAGCTAGAAGGGGCTAATGTTCAGTTGGAAGGGGTGGGGGGTTTTTGGGGTGAGCGGACTATTTTTATGTTGCCTAGGGCAACACAAAAACGAAATACACCACTGCCTTAAGGTGAGCATCACTTGCTGTCCAAAGAGCAGGCAGGAGGCAGGCTATTGGTACAAAATCTGTAGAACTGATGCAACACCATAGCACAGCGGCGGGGGGGGGGGGGGGGGGCATTTCTTTAAATCTGTCAAGTAAATACTTCACTTGTAATAGCCTGCTGTTTGGTCACAGTTACCTGGTAAGTTAAATGAACTTGTGCCCAGATCATACATACCAAACTATTTACATATTCTAAACAAGCAGCACAAACACTTTAAAACAAGCACTCATTTACCTCTGCATTCATATGCATTGTGAAGAAACTGATTTAAAAAATTTCACAACACAGGAAGAGAAGTAGCTCTTTCCCTATTACTTCCCATTGCACCAGAATTCAGGCAGCCCTCTACACACAGCCCTCTAAGACACAGTAGGTGTTTCTATGTTGTCAGAAACAAAGCCCTTTGCTCTTTGAGAATGAATAAGGTCACATTAACAGCAGCTAGAAAGGTCAGAGGTGGTTTATCTTAAAGATCATTTACTGTCTGTTAAGAATGTGTAAACACTTTTATTTTGTAATTGGAGATGACTGCTATCACATGGTGTGAGGCATGCCTTTGAGTATGTATATTCTGTCATGTATAGGAAGTTGTGTGAGGTTTTTGACGCTCCATACCACTGACATGTATCTTGTGACTGTGTTGAAGGATTTATTGAAAGAAAAAAAAAAAAATCAAAAGAATCTGTACGCAAGAATCTGTGTGGGGTGCACAAAATCACACACACATACATATATATATATGATTTTTGCATTTCTGGGCCATTGGGGGCCTCACCTATTGATCACTAGGTCCCGGACGGTGATTCCCCGCTGGCACCCAGCGATCGCTGTGTATCACCGACGGGGGAGAGGTCTGTATGTAAACAATACAGATCTCTCTCCTGTCAGCTCCTACACATTGCTTTGTATTGCTCTGTATAGCTGAGCAATACAAAGCAATGTGCTGACAGTAAAGTACACACAGCACACGGTAAAAACACACACAGCACACAGTTAACCCTTTGATTGCCCCAGATGTCAACTCCTTCCTGCCCGGTGCCATTAGTACAGTGTCAGTGCTTTTTATTAGCACTGACCACTGTATTGGTGTCACTGGGGATGTCAATGACAGTTAGTCAGTTCCATCCCAGTGTCAGAATGCCCACCGCAGTCCCGCTATAAGTCGGTGATTGCTGCCATTACTAGTATAAAAAAAAAAAAATATATATATTCTTAGATTGTAAGCTCCCAGGATCAGGGCCCTCCTATCCCTCATGTATTGAACTGTATTGTTGCTGTATTGTCTCCCGTTATATTGTAAAGCGCTGAGCAAACTGTTGGCGCCACATAAATCCTGTATAATAATAATATATAAATCCTGTATAATAATAATATATAAATCCTGTATAATAATAATATATAAATCCTGTATAATAATAATAATATATAAATCCTGTATAATAATAATATATAAATCCTGTATAAATAATAATAATATATAAATCCTGTATAATAATAATATATAAATCCTGTATAATAATAATATATAAATCCTGTATAATAATAATAATATATATAAATCCTGTATAATAAATAATATAATATATAATCCTGTATAATAATAATATATAAATCCTGTATAATAATAATAAAAATATGTTCCCGTATCTATACCGCCATTTGTAAACGCTATAATTTTCATGTAAACCAATTTATTTACACGTATTGGGATTTTGTTTTTAGCAAAGACATGGAGCAGAATACCTTTTTGCCTAAATTTATGACAAAATTTGATTTTTAAAATTTTTTGTACTGGATATGTTCAATAGCAAAAACAAAAAAAATATTGTTTTTCTTCTCAAAATTGTCAGTCTTTTTTTTTTTTTATAGCACACAAAATAAAAACCGCAGAGGCGATCAAATACCACTGAAAGAAAGCTCTATTCGTGGGAAAAAAAGGACATAAATTTCATTTGTGTGCAGTGTTGCATGACCGCGCAATTGTCAGGGACAGTAATGCAGCGCCGTATTGCAAAAAATGGCCTGGTCAGGAAGGGGGGTAAATCGTCAGGAGGGCGAGGGGTTAAAGATTACCTTGTAGAAGGAGTCCATAGACAGGAGGACCACCCAGGGCACATCCAGGGCTTCTATAATCATTCTGGCCACTGTGGTTTTACCAGAGGCACTGCCGCCCCCCAGACCTGAGATATGGAGAAGAGAAACTGGATGAGGAACAGATCTCTGTGGACTGACATTCACCCTCCCTCTTTTTTTCCCAGTGTGACATCCTATTCACCCCAAGACAGGTTGCAGATTCACACAGGAATGTTACTTGAAATGACTCTGTGCTGAGAGAAATATTTAGAACCCCCCCCCCCCTGCTGCCTTTCAACTTTTGAAAATGCTGGATGCCTGGCTGTGGACAGATTTACTGAGTCAGCGACCTGGAACAAGCATTCAGCCCAGTTTTAGTTTCTTGTGCTTGGCCACTGAAACCGGAGCATCAGAATGACAGGACAGGGGCCAGCAGTGGCAATGTGGTAAAGAACACCGTAGACTGTCTGGTCATCACTCGGTAGTTCTGTCTGCATACAGCTACAGAAAATTCTGCAAATTTAGTATGGTGTTTGCACAGCATATATGACAGAATCTTACCTGCTTTACCTACCATGAGCACAAATAACACGCACACTGTCCTCTTTACTCTTCCTCAACTTCTCCAGAGCCTCTCACAGCCTTTGGAACTCACTACCCCAATGTGTCTGGCTATCTAATACTTTTTTCACCTTTCAGAGATCCCTGAAAACTCATCTCGTCGGTGAAGTCTATCCTGCTTCTACATACCAACTGAATTTTTCCTTTTACCATCAACATCCCCACACAGTTGTTACCTTTTGTATCACTTACCCCTCGATTTTAGATTGTAAGCTCTCAGTAGCAGGGCCCTCCTAACCCTCTTGTATTGAAACTGTACCCTCAGCCTTTATATTGTAAACTGTTGGCGCTTTATAAATCCTGTATAATAATGATAATGTACTCAACTGCCGATGTTTGCAGTGCCAGTCTCACCTATGACAAACGCCTCCTTGGACTGAGTGCCATGCTCGTTGTACCAGGGTGGGCGCCCAGCTGTGTAGATTGTCCTCTTACTGGTCCGCAGCAGAGGCGGCTCTGATTTACACTGACTGGTCGTCCGCCGCCGTCTAGTTCGTCCTGGGCTAACTGGGGGTAGCAAGCCATGACTGGAGTCCGCGCTGCTGGTGACACAGACAGAAATAAACAGAATAGCAGAATTACATTCTAAGATTTCTATTACTTGTCCATCATTTAGGCCAGGTTCACCTCTGTGCGGGTGGTGCCGCTGCGGATCCGCATGAAAATCAGTGCAGCTGCACCACCCGCACAGAGGAATGTGGACCCGCGGGTGGGTCTATCGGCACGCCTCCCGGACTGGAAAACACAACCGTACTGGGAACCGAGGATCCCGTGTGGGCTGCGTTTTCAGTAGTGTCGGGACTTCTTCCCTGCGTGTCACAGGACACGGGGGTCCATTCACATGAATGGGCTCTCACGCCCGCATATATGTGAACATCCTGTACTCACTGCTGTGTGCGCCAACTCATCTCCTGTAATACTGAGGTCCGTGTCATACTTGTGATACTGTGGCTGGTGCCAAACTCGTCAGGGACAGGATCGCTATGCAGGACAGAGCAGAGAAACACTCACCCTGTTTTCACAGGTCACCCCTAGCCTGCCACGCAGCCTGGATGAGAGAGGGGGCGCCCTGTCACCGGCAAGTGATATTCTGCAGTGTTTCTGTCTGTCACCTGTGGAAACTTGTATTTTTACTGCACTTTTAGCCATCCTGCCATTGGTGAGTTATTGGCGGAGAGGAGATCACAAGTATGACACGGGCCGGCTAAGGTGGCTGTTGTAGGGTCACTGGATAAGTTCACCTTTGGGAACATGTTACATGCTCCACACGTTCTTAAGGTGCAACACGTAACATGTTCCCAATGCTGCAGCCGTGCCTCACACTCTCCCTGTGATAGCAGTACAGTGGGGGGGGACATTCCCCGTACCTGCTATCACTGTTTAAAAACAGTGTGGCTGTGCGGGGGGGCGTTCCCCGTACCAGCTATCCCTTTTTAAAAACAGTGTGGCCGTGCAGGGGGGGGGGGGGGGGGCGTTCCCCGTACCAGCTATCCCTTTTTTAAAAACAGTGTGGCCGTGCAGGGGGGGGGGGACGTTCCCTTTACCAGCCATCACTTTTTTGAACCAGTGTGGCCGTTCAGGGCTCCACCCACCCGGCTGAATCATTCATTCATAGAGTTCTGTGGATGAACAAACTACAAATCCTGACAGCCTTTGCGGCTGTCGGCTTGTAGTTCTCAAGGAACTACCACGGCACTGTGGAGAGTCTTCCTGTCACACTGTACCTACTTCCCTGTGTGGGCACACAGATACACTGACAGTTTGCAGTGTGACAGTTTCTGCTGATCACTGGTGCAATGCTTTCCAGGCTCCAAAAAAAAAATAAAAAAAATTAGAAAATGCACATTTTTTTTGCCTGCAAAAAAATGTGCATTTCTTTTTTTTTTTTTTTTAAGTGAACTTATCCTTTAATAAACGACATGAGGGGGGGGTTAAACAGACTGTCACCACCTTGGGAAAACATATATCTGTGCAGTGATGCAAGGCCTAATTAGCAGGCTGGGGCTGGATCAGAGACCAGGCTGTACTGCTTAAAGGAGATGACCGAGGTTTATAAAAAAAAAATAAACATGTCTCCTCCTCCCCATGCTCGTCTCCAGGACTTCTCCAGAGCTTCCCCCATCCTCTGGAACTCTCTACCCCAATTTATCAGACTAACGCCTACTCTGCTCACTTTTAGGCGATCTCTGAAAACCTATCTCTTCAGGGAAGCCAATCCTGCCCTCAGCTAATAATGGAATCTTCTATTCCTCCTACCAGTCCATCCCCCACAGTTATTACCTTTTGTACCACCAGCCCCTCCCTCCTAGATTGTAAGCTCCCAGGATCAGGGCCCTCCTATCCCTCTTGTAATGAAATGTATTGTTGCTGTATTGTCTCCCGTTATATTGTAAAGCGCTGAGCAAACTGTTGGCTCTATATAAATCCTGTATAATAATAATATATAAATCCTGTATAATAATAATATATAAATCCTGTATAATAATAAAAATAATATATAAATCCTGTATAATAATAATAATCTATAAATCCTGTATAATAATAATAATAATAATCTATAAATCCTGTATAATAATAATATATAAATCCTGTATAATAATAATAATCTATAAATCCTGTATAATAATAATCTATAAATCCTGTATAATAATAATAATAATAATCTATAAATCCTGTATAATAATAATCTATAAATCCTGTATAATAATAATAATAATAATCTATAAATCCTGTATAATAATAATCTATAAATCCTGTATTATAATAATATATAAATCCTGTATAATAATAATAATAATAATCTATAAATCCTGTATAATAATAATAATCTATAAATCCTGTATAATAATAATCTATAAATCCTGTATAATAATAATAATAATAATCTATAAATCCTGTATAATAATAATCTATAAATCCTGTATAATAATAATATATAAAATCCTGTATAATAATAATAAAAAACACACATACTCACCTCTGCGCTGCAGCATCAATGTGAAGCTGCAGCTGTCCCAAATCGGCTCTAAGCCCATGCACTGAGGGATCACATGACAGTTGACTGCTCAGTTCCCGGTCAGCTTGGAACAGAGAGTAGTGACTGTCAGTCACCACTCTCCACTGTGCTCCCCCAGCACTCACTGGAGTGCTGAGCTGAAGAGGGGGCAGGCACAGTGGGCTTTGGCTCTCAGCTGCACCCTGAGAGGTGGAGCCAGCTGTCACTCAAGCAGCTGGGTGGATCCCAACAATATTGTCAGGATCCTTCCAGAGAAATCAGCTGACAGTGTGCTTTAGCCCACTATAAGCTGACTCTGGGTCACAGTGCACCCCCACAATGACCTACAAGAGAAGAATGACCATAAAATCTTTTTCAAATGCAGTGAGGGTGAGGCCTGGGCTGTCACTGTCTGGATCAGGTAGAAGAGCTCCACGCATGTCAACCGTTTGGCTGAAGTTGAGATTTAGGAATCCAAGACACACAAGCCATCGGCACAGCAGAAAAGTCCCAGAAACGTTTGGCACCAGCTGTACATTTTTGGAAAGGTTGGCCACATCGCTCCTGTGATTCCTCCAGCTCTGAGTAGAGCAATGCTAGCAGGAGGATGTGTCACATGATCCCTACACTCCCCTGTAATCTTGTTTAGGTCTGCAAAGTGTCAGTGACACCCAGGCAGCAGTGACCCCCAGGCAGCAGTGACCCCCAGGCAACAGCGCTCAGTCCCTTCACTATAGACTGAGAACAGACTGACAAGGACACGGCACATCGTAGCCTCTTCTGGTACTGCAGGGGGCAGTGTGGGCACCACTCAGGTAAGTGTCACTCACCTGTTGTGCGCTCCGAGATTCCAACAAGCCGTCACCCCGGGGCCCGGACACACAGGCAGGCTCATCCTGATAAGCCCAGTGTGTCCCCTCTGCAGGAGGAGATTAGGTTCCAGGCTGATATTAATAGAGTGCAGGTGATAAATATGGAAAGCCCAGGCCAGCACACACACCGCCAATCACTACAAACATGCCCGGTCACAGGACACGTCCCATGACACGCTGACACACAACATGTGGGCTTCAGACGGCACAGACAGTTCAAGTGCACCTGTCTTATACTCAGGCAGCCATTCTGGGTGTTTACAGGAAAACTGAACGACATCCATGATGCACAGTATTTGTTTGTCTATATTTTGCCTTCCCTGGCCCCTCCCTCCCTGTCCCTCTACATAGAATGTTTACATCCAAACTTTCCATCTTATTTTAGATAGACTAGCATCATTCTGGGTGTCTATGCTTGTCTATGCAATGCAGGCAGATCATGGCTGGTGGGAGGAGCCTGCAGGTGATAAAACTATCATTGCACTCTGCATCAGTACCCTCTCAAGAACCCTCAGTGCTGATGGAAGCAGAGGGCTGGCTCCTGGGAAGATTTATGCAAATTTTAAAATGGGTGGATGACAGATTTGGAGGAGCGGGTGATCCTAGGAAGGCGATATTTGCATGTAGACCACCCACATGTCATGCTGAGACCCTTCTCCTGACCACCAATGTAAGGGAACCCTTCTCCTTCTGACCACCAATGTAAGGGAACCCTTCTCCTTCTGACCACCAATGTAAGGGAACCCTTCTCATTCTGACCACCAATGTAAGGGAACCCTTCTCCTTCTGAACATTAATGTAAGGGAACCCTTCTCCTTCTGACCACCAATGTAAGGGAACCCTTCTCATTCTGACCACCAATGTAAGGGAACCCTTCTCCTTCTGACCACCAATGTAAGGGAACCCTTCTCCTTCTGACCACCAATGTAAGGGAACCCTTCTCCTTCTGACCACCAATGTAAGGGAACCCTTCTCATTCTGACCACCAATGTAAGGGAACCCTTCTCCTTCTGAACATTAATGTAAGGGAACCCTTCTCCTTCTGACCACCAATGTAAGGGAACCCTTCTCATTCTGACCACCAATGTAAGGGAATCCTTCTCCTTCTGACCACCAATGTAAGGGAATCTTTCTACTTCTGACCACTAATGTAGGGAACCCTTCTCATTCTGACCACCAATGTAAGGGAACCCTTCTCCTTCTGAACATTAATGTAAGGGAACCCTTCTCCTTCTGACCACCAATGTAGGGAACCCTTCTCATTCTGACCACCAATGTAAGGGAACCCTTCTCCTTCTGAACATTAATGTAAGGGAACCCTTCTCCTTCTGACCACCAGTGTAGGAAACCCTTCTCCTGCAGACCCCCAGTGTAGGAAACCCTTCTCCTTCTGAAAACCAATGTAAGGGAACCCTTCTCCTTCTGACCACCAATGTAAGGGAACCCTTCTCTTTCTGACCCCCAATGTAAGGGAACCCTGCTCCTTCTGGCCACCAGTGTAGGGAACCCTTTTCCTTCTGAACATTAATGTAAGGGAACCCTTCTCCTTCTGACCACCAATGTAAGGGAACCCTTCTCCTTCTGACCACCAATGTAAAGGAAGCCTTCTCCTTCTGACCACCAATGTAAGGGAACTCTTCTCCTTCTGACCACCAATGTAAGGGAACCCTTCTTCTGCCCACCAATGTAAGGGAACCCTTCTCCTTCTGAACATTAATGTAAGGGAACCCTTCTCCTTCTGACCACCAATGTAGGGAACCCTTCTCATTCTGACCACCAATGTAAGGGAACCCTTCTCCTTCTGAACATTAATGTAAGGGAACCCTTCTCCTTCTGACCACCAGTGTAGGAAACCCTTCTCCTGCAGACCACCAGTGTAAGGCAACCCTTCTCCTTCTGAAAACCAATGTAAGGGAACCCTTCTCCTTCTGACCACCAATGTAAGGGAACCCTTCTCTTTCTGACCCCCAATGTAAGGGAACCCTTCTCCTTCTGACCACCAATGTAAGGGAACCCTTCTCCTTCTGACCACCAATGTAAAGGAAGCCTTCTCCTTCTGACCACCAATGTAAAGGAAGCCTTCTCCTTCTGACCACCAATGTAAGGGAACTCTTCTCCTTCTGACCACCAATGTAAGGGAACCCTTCTTCTGCCCACCAATGTAAGGGAACCCTTCTCCTTCTGACCACCAGTGTAGGGAACCCTTCTCCATCTGACCACCAGTGTAGGGAACCCTTCTTCTTCTGACCACCAGTGTAGGGATCCCTTCTTCTTCTGACCACCAATGTAGGGATCCCTTTTTCTTCTGACCACCAATATAGGGATCTCTTTTTCTTCTGACCACCAATATAGGGATCCCTTTTTCTTCTGACCAACAGTGTAAGGGAACCCTTCTCCTTCTGACCACAAGTGTAGGGAACCCTTCTCCTTCCGACCACCAAGGTAAGGAAACCCTTCTTCTTCCGACAACCAATGTAAGGGAACCCTTCTCCTTCTGACCACCAGTGCAAGGGAACCCTTCTCCTTCTGACCACCAGTGTAGGGAACTCTTCTTCTTCTGACCACCAATGTAAGGGAACCCTTCTCCTTCTGACCGCTAATGTAGGGAACCCTTCTCCTTCTGACCGCTAATGTAGGGAACCCTTCTCCTTCTGACCACCAGTGTCGGGAACCCTTCTCCTTCTGAACACCAGTGTAGGGAACCCTTCTTCTGACCAACAGTGTAAGGGAACCCTTCTCCTTCTGACCACAAGTGTAGGGAACCCTTCTCCTTCTGACCACCAAGGTAAGGAAACCCTTCTTCTTCCGACAACCAATGTAAAGGAACCCTTCTCCTTCTGACCACCAGTGCAAGGGAACCCTTCTCCTTCTGACCACCAGTGCAAGGGAACCCTTCTCCTTCTGACCACCAGTGTAGGGAACCCTTCTTCTTCTGACCAACAATGTAAGGGAACCCTTCTCCTTCTGACCGCTAATGTAGGGAACCCTTCTCCTTCTGACCGCTAATGTCGGGAACCCTTCTCCTTCTGACCACCAGTGTCGGGAACCCTTCTCCTTCTGAACACCAGTGTGTAGGGAACCCTTCTTCTGACCACCAGTGTAAGGAACCCTTCTCCTTCTGACCACCAGTGTAGGGAACCCTTCTTCTTCTGACCACCAATGTAAGGGAACCCTTCTCCTTCTGACCACCAGTGTAAGGAACCCTTCTTCTTCTGACCACCAATGTAAGGGAACCCTTCTCCTTCTGACCACCAAGGTAAGGGAACCCTTCTCCTTCTGACCACCAAGGTAAGGGAACCCTTCTCCTTCTGACCACCAAGGTAAGGGAACCCTTCTCCTTCTGACCACCAAGGTAAGGGAACCCTTCTCCTTCTGACCACCAAGGTAAGGGAACCCTTCTCCTTCTGACCACCAAGGTAAGGGAACCCTTCTCCTTCTGACCACCAGTGTAGGGAACCCTTCTCCTTCTAACCACCAGTGTCAGGAACCCTTCTCCTTCTGACCACCAGTGTAGGGAACCCTTCTTCTTCTTACCACCAGTGTAAGGAACCCTTCTTCTTCTGACCACCATTGTAAGGGAACCCTTCTCCTTCTGACCACCAGTGTAAGGAACCCTTCTTCTTCTGACCACCAATGTAAGGGAACCCTTCTCCTTCTGACCACCAAGGTAAGGGAACCCTTCTCCTTCTGACCACCACGGTAAGGGAACCCTTCTCCTTCTGACCACCAATGTAAGGGAACCCTTCTTCTTCTGAACACCAATGTAAGGGAACCCTTCTCCTTCTGACCACCAGTGTAGGGAACCCTTTTCCTTCTGACCACCAAGGTAAGGGAACCCTTCTCCTTCTGACCACCACGGTAAGGGAACCCTTCTCCTTCTGACCACCACGGTAAGGGAACCCTTCTCCTTCTGACCACCAATGTAAGGGAACCCTTCTCCTTCTGACCACCAATGTAAGGGAATCCTTCTCCTTCTGACCACCAATGTAAGGGAACCCTTCTTCTTCTGAACACCAATGTAAGGGAACCCTTCTCCTTCTGACCACCAGTGTAGGGAACCCTTTTCCTTCTGACCACCAAGGTAAGGGAACCCTTCTCCTTCTGACCACCACGGTAAGGGAACCCTTTTCCTTCTGACCACCAATGTAAGGAACCCTTCTCCTTCTGACCACCAATGTAAGGGAACCCTTCTTCTTCTGACCACCAGTGTAGGGAACCCTTCTCCTTTTGACCACCAGTGTAAAGGGACACTACAATTCCTTTTCTGGTCATTACTGTTACTGAAAATAACACAACAGAGCCAAATCCAACACCAAGAGGTTTCAGGACATTTACTCCCAGTTAACATCTTTGCATTTCCTGCGTGCAACATTTGCGCAAACACACAAACCTGGCTGCTATACCTGCTGGAAACACGGGGAAAAGGACCCTGAACCCTTCTCCAAAATGCCCTGGTGGGGCAGATGCACAGGATATTCGCACCATGTGGATTCACACGCCCCCAAACCATGACTGAAATAAAAACGTCTAGGGACTGATGGCACCCAGCGCGTTTCGTCTGCGGGATCGCGATTGATTTACGTGCATTCCAGCACCCGTAACAGTGTGAACCGAGCCTTCGGATGCATGCACACCTGCACAATGAGTTTTTATGCATTTGTTGCGCGACAACAAAGGGCGGCCATGACAACGTAGCTCCTGCCCTCGCGTCACGTGACTCCTAACAACGCCGGGGTGAAAAGTGCGGATCGGAGCGTTTGAAGTTCACATGCATTTCTGTGTGCGCTCCCAGAATGCCAAGGTGTGAATGAGGCCTTACAGAGCAACGAAGCCATGGCTAGCATTACCCTGCATGGACCTTTGCTGCGCTTCAAGGGGGTCTCCATTATTCTGTCCACTGAGAGTATGCCTTCATAAGACCTGAACCCCCCCATTTCTCTGGACAGGCTGGAGTTGGTATGGTCCTGGGGACACCAAGTTCCTCTGGAGGACACTGACCTCTCACAGCCTGCCTCTGACCAGACAGACACCTCAGAGCCCAGCACACGGGCCTATACCTGTCT